TTCGATCATGGATTAACTAGGCTCAAAAAATTCGTCTCGTGATTTACAACAAAACTGTGCAACTAATTATTTTTTTACCTACATTTAATACTCTATGCATATGTCCAAAAATTAATGTGATGGAAAGAGAGTAAAAAAATTTGGAATTTTGATGGAATCTAAGAATGTCGTGCTGGGTGCAGTGCACTGTCCATGGCTGCATGACCCCATGCCCCATGCATGCCCGATGGGTGCTTCCGCAGTGCTCCACGCCGGCACTCGACAATCGACATGACCGGGAATCTGGACGTGTCGTGCATCTGTCACAATTGCTGAGAATATAGTAAATTCTTCCTGCGAAACCAAACATCTGTAAATTGAATCAATTAGGGCTCCTTTGATCGTGGGATTGGAAAAACATGGAAAAGAAAAAATGTAGGAATATGATAAGATTGTCTGTGTAAAACCAAGGATTGGAAAGTACAGGAAATTTATTGGAGTTGTTATTTAGATGGACACAGGAAGTTTATAGGAATAGCAACCTTAGTAAATGTCTAATCCTTTCAGGTTAGTTTAATCAATTGTAGGCAAGCTAGCTCTTTTTGTGCCACATGCATTGCTTTTGTACGGAGTATTAGTTGCTCCAGCCATTCTTACTTCTGACTTGCCTCGATCCTATGAAAAAAAAAAGAGCTCCAAGTGGATGTTTGTTTTCCTATGTTTCACCTGTGAAACCGGTGGCAGAGGATTCTTTCCTCCAAAATTTCTGCAGCTCAATCATGTAAACCAAAGGCTGCTACAGTGACCATTCCTATGGAAATCACAATCCTACATTTCTCCCGTGAAATTCCTTTGAACCAAAGGAGCCCTTAGAATCTATGATATCCAATGAGTATTATTAAATTAACTGTAGAATTGTATGTTTTTTTTACTGAGAGCAGGAAAAAAAAGAAGGAAGCTGACGAGAAACAGAACAGGATTAGCAGGTTTCTGTCAATAATAATAACCTTAAACCTGGCTAGGTTAGATGCTGAATTGACTTTCACTAACCGTGTGGACCTTGGGAGTTTTTGACTAGTAATGGCGACAAATGCGCCTACGCTCTCCACGTAGTACTGTCTCCCTGCGACTTTGGCTTTGCCCCCCCGGCAGCACACATCAGCAGCTCGGCCACCACACCCCACCAGCTTTCCTCCCTCGTCACGCACCCAACCAACCTTGTAGTTGTTGTACAGTACTCCTGTGCCCTCTCTCCTCATCCAGACCTGCCAAAAGGATCCGATGCAATCCAATCCAATCCAATCCAAAGCGCAAATCACATCATTGCAAAGACGCACAAAAAGGAGATGCGGGCTTGTTCGCTGGTCGGTGCTGGTGCTGGTTTGGACTGACTGGTGTTGGTTTTTATGAAAGAAAAATACTGTTGACTGGCTAATTTGAGCTGGCTGAAAGATATATACTGTGCGTGCTACTCCATCAGTTTCGGTAGAGGACTCCTATCATCGCCATGGCACAAAAGAATTTCAAAAAGGTCCAGATCTTATTGTGGTAGTGTCTGTATCTGTGGATAAAACTTTGCTGGGACAAAAGAAAAAGAAAAGAAAAGAAAAGAAAGGAGAAGGTTCGCTGACCTCCAATGGCGAGCGCCCCGTGCACCGGGAGAGATCCAACGCGATCGGCCATGTCGCTAAAGAAACAGTAGAATACAGCGCGCGTGGCACACCACAGCACTGCGCTCATTGATTATCGCTGCCCCCACATTCTAATAATTTGTTAGAGTATTTCTTTGTCACCAACACACTCCTCTTTGGAGCTCGCAAAAAAGGAGTGTGTTTAGCGCTCATTGATTATCACTCGTGCTTGCGCCAGTCGTGGGGACCTGCATCAAAATGAGAGCAGGTTTAGAGAGAATCCAAAGGTGGTTTGCATGTGCCCTCTGATCTTGCAGCAAACAAGGAGTATCTTCCTTCCCGCTCATCAAAAAATAAAAATTAGTAATCGAACAAGCTTGGCACCAACTGGGAATGAATTATGCAGCGGGCGGGCCAATGTGATGAGCCTGTGCCCTGCGCAGAGAAATCAAGAAGCTTTAAAATCCTTCTCTTTAGCAAAGCAAAAGAGCTAAGGATGCTTGGGGCAATGAAAGAAAATAGTAGTTTGTATAACATAGGATACCGTACTTAAAAAAATATTGTTTTTCAACCCATGGTTTCTATGAATAATAAATATTTTCTCTTTCTCTCTAACAACTCTATCTTCTTCCTTCAATGGAAGTGCGGCACGAGCCCCCTAGAAACTGGTGGTTTCTCTCCAATGGTGATTTTATGGGTTCTTGGTGCATTGGGTCAAGAGAAGACCCGATTTCTTCATGAGAAAACCATTTATAGGATTTTTGCTCTCTTTCTTCATTAATTACGTTGCCATGTCAACGTTTTGCCTACGTGGCAAGTCATTTAATGAGGATAGAAACCATCATCAATACACCATTGGGACTGCCCTTATAAATCTTTCAGCTGATACTCCTAAGTCCTAATATACTTATATAAGCCGAGTGCTTGGGTAACAGTTGCTTGATTATTCTAATGTTTCTGCCTAATGCAGAACCTGCGAGAAAATCTAACGAAACAACCCAAGAATTTCCTCTGCTTGTAGTGAAAGGCAGAAGTATCTATGGCCTTGCATTCAAAACAAGAAAAATGGCGAGAACACCCCCCCCCCCCCCCCGAAAGTTGGCTAAATTCTTCCATCAGCCAACTGCCATTTATTTCAGAAGTAGCATTTCCCCACAGATACTTGTGTCAGTTGCTTTAATCGGGAAGATCAGTAGATCTAACTTCTAAGTGGAACATCTTAACCCTGAAGTGCACATGCTTTTAAGAGATCTCTGCACCTGGTTTCCACGACGACATGGATCCACATGCCAGCAGCACCAAGGCATGGATACCAACAACTCAACCCACAAAAGCTCCAGGTTTAGCAGCACGATGCATAAAACATGCGCAAATGAACCCTGACGCAGCTTCCGTGGAAAGCCAAGCAGCTCGAAACGTCTCCTCCTCACTTTGTCACATGCTTCAACCCGAGTTTTCGCGGTTATTAAGATCAGGGTCGGGTCGCTGAGGAAGAAAAAAAAGGAGGGCAGGACAGGGGTCACAAGGCCCAACACCGGAAATTTCCCATGAATCTAGGCGGTATCTTTTCGATTTGTTTGGTCCTTTTCGTTGGGAGCTTCAAATTGTATCGTCTTGAGCTGTCCATGTTAGGGAGCCCACAAAAGGAAGACGCCAAGGTTTTCGCTGGGCCCAGCATGTGTCTGTGTGAATATTCGGTTCCTAGTGTTTGCCATCCTGTGATGAGTGCCATACTGAGACTGTAGGTGCAGCGTCTGAGTTCTCAGTCTGAGCTGAAATACATCCTAAACTGTAAATTCAGAACTCTGAGGACTTCCTGCACATGAATTATCTGCTATTGGAAAATGGAAAGGTATGTTGTGCTTCTACATTCCACACACATGTCCATGAAAACTACTGGTCGGGAAGTAACGGTAAAAATTGGCAGTTTTACAAAATGTCCATGAAGTGTTCTCAAGATGTATATTTTGACAGTTTAGGATTAGTGATTATATACTATCCCCATGTGAGAAAAACTCATGACAATTAAGATAGATAGACTAAGAGAAATGAGCAGTGAGTTTGCTATAAAGTTAGTCATTGTTCAAGCATTTTCCCTTTTTCTTAAGTAAACTAGACTTAAGATGCCTTGATACAAGAAAACTATGACGAATATGAAAATTGTGTCATGTTCTGAGACACTGAAAAATCAAAGGGAAGCAAGGCACATGTTCAAGTTGGCAAGAAACAAGAAATCTACACATCCAAATAGTTCCGAGAATTTGTAAAGCTCCGGCTAACAGGCATAGCCTGTAAGGGAGAGAAAAGAAAAATAGCTTCTTGTGCTGCGATTAAGCACATGAGAGAGCCATCTTTTAAGGAACACTTAAATGTTCCACCATTATATATGGCTAGTAAGGTTATTGTGTATTGCTGACATGGCAAAAGTTAGTTAAAAGTACATGATAGTCAAGCTCTACTGGCCAATATGAATGTCGAATAAGAAAAGAAAGCTTTTGCAGAAATTCTAGATGTCAACAATTGACATCTAACATGTGTGATGCCTATCGTTACATACTAACACTTATCCAAATATGCTCCTTATAGTCAAAGATCACAGAAACTTCTATCAAACGTTCCATTCAAAGTTTGTTAGGTGTTTCACTCTCTGCCATATCTAATACAAGCTTCAGCATGATCAATTGATGCAACCAATAATGCACCACATATTCAAAGAATGCTGTTGGGCAAAACATCTTGCAGCACCTTGATGGCTGCTGACTAAACCTGTACATTTCAAACTCGAATGCATGATAAATTAGAACTGTAAAGTGCATTTATTGTTGGTAATTGTGTAATGATGAGGGATCTCCATATACCCATCAATATTAAATATATTAATACACAGCCAAAGACAAATATTATATCTTTCTATCTTAGCTATCATAGCAGTCGAGGTATTTAGTGCCCATTTTGCCATGAATGTATGTAAGATTGTGGTGAAAGAATATTGAAAAATAGCAATTGCCTATTCAGCGCACCACTGCTAGTCAGCTACAACAAATGGAACATAGTGAAAAACAGCTGGTATGTTTACCTGCAAATATTATCTACGTCTCTTAGTAGGGTCAGTTGATGCATGGATCTTTTCATTTACAGCCCCTTTATCAAATTTCCCTTCCAAACTAAAGTTATTTCCACATAGTTAGCTATTGGTATGAATTTGTCAACTGAAACTCAGCTTCTTCCATTAAGCTCTGCCCTGGAGCCTTATTCACACTCATCCTCCTCATCAATTTCCTCACCTCCCCTGCCTCCTCCCACCGCTCTGTTTCCGCATAAAGATTGGCCAACAACACATAGTTCCCCGAGTTCCATGGTTCAAGATTGATAAGCTCTTTCAGAGCCACCTCAGCAATGCCAAGCCCAGCATGAGCACGACATGCACTTAAAAGTGCTCCCCCATATCGCAGCATTAGGCTTCATTGGCATCCCCTGAATCAGTACGTGCGCCTCCTCAAGGAGACTAGACCTTCCAAATAAATCCACCATACACCCGTAATGCTCAATTGCTGGCTCAATGCCATGCTCCGACAGCATGCTCTGGAAGATCTCCCGCCCAATATCCACTGCCCAAGCATGCGCGCAGCATCCAAGCACTGCCAAGAACGTCACAGCATTAGGCTCCACTCCATGCCTCCTCATCTCCTGGAACAGATCAATCCCCTCAACTCCGTGACCATTCAATGAGAATCCAGCGATCATGGCGTTCCAGCTCACCACACTGCGCTGCCGTGTTGTCATAAACACCTCCTGTGCACTATCAACATCACCGCACTTGCAGTGCATATCCATCACTGCATTTGCAACATGCACTGTACCATCCAACAAGCCAGTCTTCCTCGCATACTCATGCGCCCACCTCCCTGCCCCAACATTCCCCGTCCTCCCACAAGCCGGGAGCACCGCCGCCAAGGTCCCATCATCTGGCGCCACCTCTCCTTCCCTGACCATCCTCTCGAAACACTGCACTGCCATGTCATCTCGTCCACGGCGTGCACATCCGGTGATCATAAGGTTCCAGGAAACGACGCTCCTCCTGGATCGCCCGTGCCGCTGCATTTCGTCGAACTGGTGGCGTGCGGCGCGGATGTCCCTGGCCTTAAGGCAGGCCGTGATGAGGGTGTTGTAGGCGACGGTCCACTTGTTATTTTGGGGCATATCGTCGAACAAGGCGCGGACGTGCGGTAACGGGTAGGGCTTGAGGAGAGCGAGGGTGATGGGGTGGTGTGAGAGGAAGCCGAGGCGGAGGAGGAGCGAGTGCAACGCGGAGAGGAGCGGCAAGGAGGAGGAGGCGCAACCGAGGAGGGGCAGGAAGGTTAGGCGGTCAGGCGCGTGGAGTCGGCGGAGCGTGGAGAGGAGACGGAAGGCATCGTCCGGCGAGGAGGAGGCGGAGAGTGCCTTGACAGCGGCGTTGAGGAGCGTCAGCGGGGGTGGGGGATCGGGAGGAAGGAGGCGGAGGAGCGGCAGCGCGGGCGGCGGAGGGGAGGAGAGGAGCAGCAGCGCCGCGAGGGCGTGGTAGTGCGGCGACGGCGGGGAGCAGGGGAGCGCGCGGCGCTGCTGCTCCTCTGGAGCGTTAGTACCAGCACCAGCACCACCGTCAGCAGCAGCAGCAACGGCAGGACCTTCTCCCGCAGCGAGAAAGCAACCATACTCGGCGCCAGCTTCAACACTAGGCTGTTAAGTTTCGTTTTAGCCATGTTCATCAGATCGGGATGTATTGGTAGTAGGAATAGGTGTTTAGGATCATAGAGAGAGATAGAGAGAAAGAAGGTGATAGATTGCAAATCATCAAATATCGTAGTTGTCGAAGCTCCGGCTGGGATTTTATTGACGGACGCCATCTGCGCGCCGGCAGCGACGTTCGGTGGAGAGGGAGTCGGCGCTGTGGCGTCCTCGGCGGCGGCGTGTGCGTCGGGGTGGCGTTGCCGGTGTCGGTGGTGCTTTCCGTCGCTGACAGCGCCCTTCTCAAGATCGGGTCTAGGGTTAGGATGTCGGTGAGGTGACTGGCGGCGCGGTGAACCTCGTACTGCGAGCCCTGGCCCCCACCTTTCCTTTATAGCGTTGTGCGACGGGGGCTCACCAACCATGTAGGGTTAGGCGCCCCTGATCAGGGCGCGAGGACAAGGCCCAGTTAGACTAGTGGGAGATCAATCCTAACATTCTCCCCCTTGATCTCTCATCTATTCTTCGTTCTTTAATTTCATACTCAAAACTTTCAATTCATATTTTTCTTGCTTCCATCCTATTTCATCACAGATTAGTGCATAGAACTGTCCCATCGTCACAGCAAATAGTACCGTTAGACTAACAGCCACAATACACTTCTCCATTTTAAAATGTAAACTTTCTTTGGGCCCTTCGTATATTCAGGAATCATAGACTTTCCCTTAAACCCATGCCGGCTACGTGTTCTCTGAACACGTTGGGTGGTAAGCCCTTTGTGAGCGGATCCACGAGCATTTTCTCTGTACTTATATGCTCAAGATTTATTATATGATCCCGAACTTTATCTTTCACAACATAGTACTTTATGTCAATGTGTTTGGTAGCATCACTTGACCTATTGTTGTGAGCATACTGTACCGCTGGATTGTTATCACAATACAATCTCAGTGGTTCATTTATATCATCAATCACTTTCAATCCGGGTATGAATTTCTTCAGCCAATTCACCTGCCCCGTTGCCTCATAGCATGCTACAAACTCGGCATACATTGTCGAGGATATAGTCACGGTTTGTTTGGAGCTTTTCCACGATATAGCCCCTCCTGCGAGAGTAAATACATATCCTGACGTGGATTTTCTTTCATCTCCCGCATAATCGAATCTCAATACCCCTCTATCTCGCAGGGAATCGATCTTCTATACGTAAGCATGAGGCCTTTCGTACCCTACAAATAACGCAGGGACTTTCTTCACTAATTTCCAATGTTCAATTCTCGGATTCTTTTGATATCCGCCAAGTAACCCAGTAACAAAAGCTAAGTCGTATGTACACACTTGAGCATATTGTAAACTTTCAACAAATTGAAGCATATGGTACCGCTTTCATTCGGTCAATTTCATATTGGTTCTTGGGACATTGATGTTCCCCAAATCTATCGCTCTTGACTATAGGAGCAGTGAAGGATCTGCATTTATGCATACTAAATTTCTTCAGGACCTTTTCTATGTATGCCTTTTGCGATAATCCTAGAACCCCTTTTCTCCTGTCTTGGTGAATCTCTATTCCCAAAACGAACGAGGCCTCACCGAGATCTTTCATATCAAAGTTTGAGGACAAAAATTTCTTCGTTTCCATTAGCAGATTGATATCACTACTAGCAAGCAAGATATCATCCACATACAAAATTAGGAATATGTACTTTCTATTCCTGAACTTTGCATAAACGCAATTGTCCTCAACATTTTCTTCAAACCCAAAACCTTTTATCATTCTATCAAATTTCAAATACCACTGTCTTGAAGCTTGCTTCAATCCGTAGATTGATTTCTTCAGGCGGCATCCCATATTTTCCTTTCCTTTTATGACAAAACCTTTCGGTTGTGCCATATAAACATTTTCTTCCAAATCCCCATTTAGGAAAGCCGTCTTTACTTTCATTTGATGTAACTCCAAATCATAGTGAACTATAAGTGCCATTATAATTCTGAAGGAATTTTTACATGAGACTGGAGAAAACATCTCATTGTAATCAATTCCTTCTCTTTGTGTGAAGCCTTTCGTCACAAGTCGCGCTTTAAATCTTTCTATATTTCCTTGGGAGTCATATTTCGTTTTTTTTAGACCCATTTACAGCCTACTGTTTTGGCTCCTTTAGGAATATTTTCTAAGTCCCAAACTTTATTGGTACTCATTGATTTTAATTCATCTTCTATGGCCTTAAGCCACTTTGATGAGTGGTCGCTTCTCATGGCTTCTTCAAATGAGGTGGGATCATCCCCCATCTGATATTCTTCTGTTTCATAAACTTCATAGTCATCAGTAATAGCTGATCTTCTTATTCTTTGAGACCTTCTAGGTGCCTCCGGCACTTGTTTCATATTTGGCTGTTGTTGTTCTTCCTCATGTGCAACATTTGGTTCTATAGGTTCCTCAAGGACAGGTTCCTCATGTTCATTCATTGTCGTCACGGGAGAACTTGCAACAGGTGTTGGCACTACAGTGTCCTGCACTGTCGGTGCAACAGCACAGGTAGCGTGAAGAATGGTTCTTCAACCATCGGAGTGGGTACATGTACCCGCTTCTCCTGTAGGCTGATTTCTCGTGCTACCATGCTCCCCCTGATCATGTTATCCTCCAAGAACACATCGTGTCTTGTTTCTACAATCTTCGTATGTCTGTTAGGACAATAGAAGAGATATCCTTTTGATCTTTCTGGATAGCCAATAAAATGGCAGCTGACTGTCTTGGAGTCTAACTTTCCTATGTTTGGGTTAAACACTTTTGCCTCAGCTGGACAGCCCCACACACGCAAATGGTTGAGTGAGGGTTCCCTTCCTGTCCATAATTCATACGGTGTTTTAGGCACCGATTTACTTGGTACTCGATTAAGTATGTGAATGATGGTTTTCAGTGCCTCCATCCATAAACTAATCGGTAATGTGGAGTAACTCATCATGCTTCTTACCATATCCATTAAGGTACGGTTACGTCTTTCAGCCACTCCATTCTGCTGAGGCTCCCCCAGTGTGGAGTACTGAGCAACTATGCCATTTTCCTGTAGGACCCTGCGAATGGTCTAGGAATTTGGCCATATAGGGTATGTCGCCCATAGTACTCTCCACCTCGGTCTGATCTTATTGTTCGGTGGAGAGGGAGTTTGGTGGAGAGGGAGTCGGCGCTGTGGCGTCCTCGGCGGCGGCATGTGCGTCGGGGTGGCGTTGCCGGCGTCGGTGGTGCTTCCCGTCGCTGGCAGGGCCCCTTCTCAAGATCGGGTCTAGGGTTAGGATGTCGGTGAGGTGACTGGCGGCGCGGTGAACCTCGTACTGCGAGCCCCGGCCCCCACCTTTTCTTTATAGCTGAAAGCATTTAGGCCCCTAGTTGGATTTCGTGATTAATGTCAATACAAGATTACTATGACCAACGTGTGTTTTGCAGAGGCATATAAAGTTAGGTCATGGTAATGGAGATCGATTGGGCAATCGAGGTTGTCATGCCCCTACGATGGAAATTGTTTCGGTTTTCAAAGGATTAACGACAAGGTTAAGGATGACTAGTTCTAAGTGTCGATTGGAGTTGGAGAGATATTTAGAATAGTTTAGGACTTTGTTTTTCCTTTGGCCGTACTATTAAGGGGGTATGAACGGGTAGCTTGACCTAGTTGAGTCTAGTGAGTTAGGTATGGTGCACACTTATTAAAACTAGCTCTAGGTAGCTCCTATGAATGCCTAAGATCCTTTGGAGCAAACTTCATTCTCATATGATCGAGAGTTGGAAGTGAATGGAGGGTCAAATACTGACCGGACGCTGGCTCCGGTGCGACCGGACGCTGGCCGCAGGGTCCGGTCAGTTCATTTGACCGAGGAGAACAAGTCTAGTGTGACCGGACGCTGGAAGGTCAATGTGACCGGACGCTGAGGGCCAGCGTCCGGTCAACTCCAGTAAGGGTCCTGACTTGAGAAAGTGTGACCGGACGCGTCCGGTCAGTGGTGACCGGACCCTGAGTATCCAGCATCCAGTCGATTACAGTAAGCATCCAAGAGCGACCGGACGCGTCCGGTCAGTGCTGACCGGACCCTGACAGCGTTCGGTCATCATTGGGTTATTGATAGTGGTTGCACTCAACATATGACCGGTGATCCTCGTATGTTCACCTCACTAGATGAAGAGGTAGATGGACAAGAGAAAATAACATTTGGAGATAATTCAAAGGGCAAGGTTAAAGGATTGGGCAAAGTGGCAATATCAAATGATCATTCCATCTTCAATGTGCTCTATGTTGCCTCATTGAGTTTCAACTTGCTATCCGTTGGGCAATTGTGTGATCTTGGTTTCCAATGCTTATTCACCGAGAAGGAGGTTGTTGTATCCAAAGTAGATGACAAGCAAGTGATATTCAATGGATTTAGAGACAACAACTTATATCTAGTTGACTTCACCTCCGAAGATGCAAACTTGAAGACTTGCCTATTCACCAAAACAACACTTGGGTGGCTACGGCATAGAAGACTTGCTCATGTTGGGATGAGCTCACTCAAGAAGCTTATGAAGAATGATTTGGTGAGAGGGTTGAAGGATGTGAAGTTTGAAAAGGACAAGCTTTGTAGTGCATGTCAAGCCGGTAAGCAAGTTGCAAACACTCATCCAACCAAAGCTTTCATGTCAACCACAAGAGTGCTAGAACTTCTACACATGGATTTATTTGGACCAACAACATATAAGAGTTTGGGAGAAAATCTCTATTGTCTTATGATTGTGGATGACTATTCAAGGTATACATGGGTGTTCTTCCTTCATGACAAATCCGAAGTTGCATCTTGTTTCAAGAAGTTTGCTAAGAGAGCTCAAAATGAATTTGAAGTGAAGCTCAAGAAGATAAGAAGTGACAATGGTAAAGAGTTTGACAACACAAATATTGAATCCTATTGTGATGAAGTTGGAATCAAACATGAAGTCTCC